AAGGGTACTTTGAGCAGAGTAAATGTGCAGGGTGTGGTGTGGCCGTTAGAGCAGAGTGGGTGGACAGGGCGTGTCACAGCCATTAGGGTTTGTGTTAGGACACACAGGGCATGGCAAGGCAGTTAGAGAGGAGCAGGCATGCAGGATGTGGTGCAGCAGTCAAAGCAGCTCTCRGCACAGTTGATGTAGTTGGGACAAGCAGGGAGGAGGTTTGCTCTCAGCAGGAAATCACTCCCCACAGTTACCACCTCAGTGAGGAATCAGCCAGAGCCATGATGTCTACTTGTTGGCAGACTGTGGGGATGCAGACTGAGATGCCCTCGTGCATGCAACAGTGGGGTCTCCAGCTACGGACAATGCCTTAGGCCCTCAGTGCTAGCAGGGGGTAGCAGAGGCAACACCTGCGTGAAAGGTGAACTGCTTAACCTTCTGGCATCAGTGAATGAGTAGGTAGAAAGGCTAAAGGCTGTCAGTGAGAAAGATGGGTGCAGTCGCCGATTTGAGAATACCRCCTCAAATGTCTGAGGGTGTGGATGCACAACTTTTTTTTTTCCCTCTTCTCAATGTCAGGAAAGGACACTGAGGGGCAAGAAAAGCCACCTGCTTAACAGATGGCTAAAAGGCTGGTGCCAGTGGTGGTTTTTTGTTTTTTTTTAAACCATGGGACAGTCTTTATGGCATTGGGCCTCCAGTGGACAGACAGGTTTCACTTTTAGAAGAAGAGGAATCTTTGCCCAGGAGTTGGCAGTACTCATTGAGAGGGCTTTAAACTAGCTATGTAGAGGGAGGGACATAAAACTCTGATCCCTAAAGATGAACATGGGGCAGAATGCCAGGGTTGGGGGAGAGCTCAGACCATCTGAAGTGCATCTCTGCCAATGCATGAAGCATGAGCAGCAACAGGAAGAGCTTGAGGCCATGGCTGTTAAGAAAACTATGACAGTTGCCATAATTGAAAAGTGTTGGGACTATTGTCATGACTGGAGTGCTGTGGTGGATGTCTACAGACTTTTAAGAAGGGATGGGCAGGGAAGGAAAGGAGGTGGGGTAGCGCTGTATGTTAGTGAGTCCTTCAAATATGTGGAGCTCCAAGCAGGTGATGGGGAAAAAAAAATGAGTGCTTATGGCTCAGGATCAACTAGAGGAGCAGGGTTAASGAGAATTGCCATCCTTCATCGGACGCAGCGGGAAATGTCACCAAGGATGAGGATATGGCTGAGGTACTTAATGCTGCTATTGTCTCAGTCTTTAACACCCAGATCAGTTATCCTCCAAGTACTTGGTACCTTGAGCCAAGGATTTCATGGATTCATAAAAGGCAGATCGTGCTTGACCAAGCTGATGTCCTTCTATGACCAAGTAACCTACCTAGTGGATGGGGAAAAGGTTGTAGATAACTATTTTTAGGCCCCTCCCTACGAGGAAGGCATGGATGCTGGAGTGTGCGCAAAGAAGGCCAATGAAGCTCGTGAAGAATCTGGAGCACAGACCTTATGAGGAGCAGCTGAGGGAGCTGAGGTTAGCTAGTCTGGAGGAGGCTCGAGAGAGATTTGATCGCTCTCTGCCGCTACCTGAAAGGAGGTTGCAGGGAGGCAGGAGTTGTTCTTTTCTCCAAAATAACCACCAATACAACCAGGGGAAATGACCTCAAGTTGCACCAGGAGAGATTCAAGTTAGATATTAGGAAAATTTTCTAAACAGAGTAGTCAAGCATGGAAACAAGCTGCCCAGGGAAGTGGTGGGGCCACCCTTCCTGGCAGTGTTCAAGAAGCGTGTAAATGAGCTGGGGACATGGTTTAACACACATGATGGTCATGGGTTTGCAGTTGGACTTGATCCTGAAGGTCTTTTCCAACCATAATGATTCTATGATTCTTTTATAGGTTGAAAATGTTCAGGCAGAAACATAAACCTTGTATTTCAGGTGTTATGTGACCTGATGTGTTTAACAGACATGTACATGAATATTTAAAGGGAGATCTAGGATATCATTGCTATGAATACTATATTTAAAATTCTGGGGAGYAGTTTGATCCCAGACAGATTGCTTCACATTTTGTTTTGGAAATTCATGCAGAACAGGCATGTGTGCAATGATTCATCTAAGRCAAAGTTTTTGCATACTTGAGAAACAGAATTTGTGTTAGGTTATCTGATATTTGAAGAACACTGTCCCCAGTGCAAGAGAGATACTGAACTATTAGAGAGTCTAGCGTAGGGCTAGGAAGGTGATTGTGGGAATGGAGCTTCTCTCAGGTAAGGAGTGAGAGTTGGACCTGTTCAACCTGGGAAGACTGAGAGGGGATCTTATCAGTGTGTACAGATATTGTAAGGGAGGATGTTAAGGGAATAGGGACAGACTCTTTGCAGTGGTGCTCAGTGRTAGGATAAGAGGCAACAGCCACAAACTGAAACACAAGAAGTTCCTCYGGATACAAGGAAAAACTCAAAATTGGAAAACAAAACAGCAGGTGAAAATCAATGTAGGTAAATGTAGAGTAGTGAATGTACAGAAAAATACATGTGAAATGACAATTTTAYGAAAATTTTCTCCAGCCACAGAAGCAGTAATTACTGGAGGTTCACAGGTAGTTGAGTTACTGCTGCCCCACCTAGGAAGAGAGGCATACTGGTATTCTACCTATCAGTCTACCAGTAGTCTTGGACCAAAATAGAAACTACAGGTAAGAGCAATTGTACACATTGCGTTGTGTTCTATAGTTCCTGGAATGTATTGCAGTAATAAAGAAGATAATACCATATTTTCTTAAATAACATGTAGAAGTACAAAAAAAGTAGGAAATTTTTATTGAAAAGGGCATTTCCATTTTCCCAAATCATATCCAGTGTGCACATTTGAATATATTCTAAAATATTTTCTCTAAAGTGAAATATAAATACATAACAGTATATCTAAATATAGTTATGTATAAAGTTGTGTATGGCTATAACAAATTGTTAATTGGAAAGATTAAATGCTTTACTGAGTTACATTTTTGTACACTTGTATCTATTTAAGATCAGTATATATGGCATGAGTTCTTACATATTTTTAACACTAGAATGTGTGATAGAAAATTTTTAGATTGGGAATGGAGATGAAAAAGCTTAGGGACAGCATGAGCTCTTTCAATAATGAAATTTAAACCCGAAGTCTGTAAGATTTTWAAATACAGTGAATGATGACCCAGAGAAATGGGTTGAAGGGTTGCTGGGAATAGCAGGATGGTAGCAACTAAAAGAATATATATATATATATACACACACATATATATAGTTGATTTCAGAAATGTATATATGTGTWTTTTTGTTAATTGCTCAATATCTGTCTAAATCTTCTTTTGAAAGGGTATACAGACAGCTATAAATGCTCAAATAGCTGTTGCTATTACAGTACAGAAACCAGGCTAGTGGGAAATTGTATGGGAAGAGAATACAGGAGAAAGCATACTTAATGTGACTATCACATTGTATCTAACTAGTTTTCTGRTTCAGATGTAAAAAGGCAAAAGTTCCGGATGTACAGGACTGCTAGAGAAAGTTGTTTTCCAAGAGACAAGTTGCAGCTATTTGATAACGGAGAAAGAATGAAAATGAAAGAAGTAGAAGGGAAGCAGGCATAGATAAGAGGTGTCAGAAGCGGCTTCTGCATGCTGTACTGAAGACAAGGATAAATAATTTAAATTTTATTCAGATGTTGAAGATTGTGGACAAACTTAGTTTGGAGTTGTGCATGGTTAGAATAGTAAGGCAGGTATGGGATATAACACTGAATTTTGGAACTTGATTGTAATGCTCAGAGGGGAAATGAGAGCTGGCCCAAGCCTTTTCCTTGAAACAGTTTACAGCCATGGTCAAGAAATCAGATGTGCTCTAGCCAGCCATGCTCGCTTACCAGATGAGGCTTTCAGTAGATTATTTTTAACACATATTTACTAAATCTACTAAAGAGATTTGGAGGCTTGGAGCTGTTTTAGTTGGTGAAGKTTATGTTTGATAATTGTCTAGGAAAAGTCACTTTATCATTTTCTTTTGCCATATTAACTTTGGAACTGTTACATGTATCGTCACTATTGTATTTTACAGGTGCTTAACACCATGTGGGTGCTATGTCAGGTTGATGGTCACTGTGTTCCCAAAAGACACTGAGCACAATTTTGTTTCAAAGTAAATTTACATAAGTTTTTAATAAATTAAAAAACTACTAAAATATCATTCTCTACATCTTCAGTTTACATTATTTTACTTTTACCTTTTCTTTGTCATTCTGATTTTTWTATTCTGCTGTGCAGATATTCTGGTAAGAAAGGGTGTATTCTGCTGTTGGCCTCTCACTGTTAGCCTGTGATGAACAAATAGGCAGCTTAATAAACTGAAGCTGAAAATAAGAGATTGTGATATGCCAAAGCACTGATTTAAGAGAAAACTCCTTTCATGTTGAGTATGGCATCTTTTGGTTTAGTGAAGTGCTCACCCTTTTTCTAAAGCAATAAATGTTTCCTTAATTATGTCATGATCTTTTATCGTTACATAACTTAAATTTCTTCGAGAGAAACGGGAGTGACCTATTGAACGATTGGCAGTATAGCAGCTGCTGGCTTTTTGTATAAGCTGTCTGTATGAGTAATGGAAACCGTTGTAAGTTTTTTTTAAATGCTGAAATTTTTTGAAACCTGTCTTTAATGGACATCTCATCAGCATTTTTATTACTGTGCTTATTTTCTTTTTTTGAAATACTCCATTAGTCAGGTAGGTCTAATAAAGAATGCTGCTTTGTTTTTCTGTTCCTTATTATATGCAGTGCTAGGGCTACAGTGCCAAGGAGTTAAAAAAGCAAACTACTGAAGCGCAACTACCTTTGTAGTAATGGAGTTCGATGTTTAAGTATTGTAATTCATTAGAGACAACTAATAAAGTTGCAAAATGCTGAACTGTAACGTTAAAACCCATTTTAAAAAAAACTACAAACGTAGTTAAACTGCTTTTTAAATTTACTTCAGAAATACAAGCCTGGCCGATGCGATGATATCTTGAAATGGAAGCCACCCAGCCTGAACTCGGTTGATTTTCGTCTAAAGATAACAAGAGTTGGTGGAGAAGGGTATGTAATTTCTTCCCATTTTAAATACAAAACACTTGGCATTTTCTGAGGTTAAGTCTCTATATATATCTGTAGAATTGAAGTTATATGCAACGGTTGTAATCAGTGCTACACTGAAAAAGAATGACTTATCTTTGTGATGTGAATCCCCTCATTCACAAATTTCATAAAAGTCCTGTTGAATTTGACAGTTACTCCTTATGCTTTTAGAAATGAGACAGTCTAAATTAGCATAAAATATCAAATGCCTGTTTTCCATTGCTTTTACACAAAATAGTGGCAATGTAAGCTTTATTTCTATTTGCAATTACGTATGATGAGAAATGGCACACGTTATTTTAAACAAAAACGAAATTTTAGATATGTTTTATTTGGTAGTTGCTCATCAGTGTTAGTCTGTAAAACTGTAAAGATCTTTACTAAGAAAGTTTTAATGCTCTAAGACATTTAAGTCTTTAGACTACATCAATTTTACGTATTGCCTAGTTCAATCACTGCATATAATAAATGGGGGTGCTTTTCACGTATGGTTGTGCCATGAAAAAGATTGATTCATTAAATTAAGCTTTTTTTTGAAAAAGATTTTCTTAAAATGAAGATATTTGACTTTAGACTACTTACTATTTTAACATCTGGCACTCAGCTGACAGTTTGAAATTGTGATACTTAGCCCTTTTTCTTGATGCTACAGGTAACTGAATATGATGAAACAGTTAATTCATATATCACTTATAGTGCTAATAATAACAGCATCTAACTTTTAGATACTTGTACATTATGTTGATGAACATATTTGGTGAATACATGGTAACCTAAGAATATGTGGTTGTTTAAGAAAATGTGCTCAGCTACTAAATGACCATTTCATTTTTGTGTATGAAAACTGAATATTATGTATTTCTTAACATCACATGTATTTTAGAGAATATATAGAAACATTTAAGTTGCAAGAAMTTCAAAGAATTGGATGTGTATATTTACAAATATTTTATATTTGTATATAAAATAAAAAGYCTAGCTTTTATGTAAGTTGTAAGACTAATAAGAAAATTATTGGACAAAACAAGGTATTTTTACTATGGGATTCTTGTGATTTCTTCTGAAGCTTATAAATGTGGAGAGTCTGTAATTCAGAAGCAAACAGATTATTTTCATTTCATAGAAAAGAATTACTCATTTGATGAGCTAACTGATTTSAAAAAAGAAAAATATTATGTTCTTACATTTAGTAGATTATGAATTATTTCATCAGAATATTTAAGCACACTGTAAAACATCAGCCAGTAAAAAGTGTTTCTAAGAATCCAATTCTGGATGGAATTGGAAACTTTCTGATATGCAAAACTATTCTATCATGTTCCAACTATGTAAAAATAAATGCATTGCTCCTATTGTGGCAATTTTCTGGATTAATCTATAGGTTTATTTAAGTGCTTTWATGCGTATGTTCTTGAGGGAGAGGAGGAAAGTGTAGAATAATTTGACATTTGATTACAAAAGTACACTTCTTCCAAATTCATTTTATTTCATCTCATGTGACAGTTCACTGCTAGTAGTAATGTAAGTGCAAGTGCAGTCAACCAACAAAAAGAAGCAAATGAATTACTGGGAGGAAAATATAATTGCCTTTGAGTGAGGTATTTATGTTGAGTAGTGACCTATGAACAGYAGCTTCTGCTCAGTTAACCGCAGACAAAGAAAAAATACTAGAGGATTAACTGCTTCAGTTGTTAATTTGAGGATCCCATTTATCGCTTGGAAAATCTTAAGTTGATGAACTTGTTTAATACAGCATCAGAATTACGCTGTTTTTGAAATAGTTGATTGTATTTTCTGCAGAATCATATTTATCTTGGACTTTAAAAATACAGTTCCAAGTTCTGAGTGCTGCCACAAAAAAMCAGCTGAACAGATGAAAGTTAGGCTGATTTCTGGTATAACTAAAAACTGTCCTGATGAGCTGACTGTCTTGCTGCGAGCAATTCTAATGTGACACGAGGCTTCCTCTGCCCAACTTTACTGCAGTTTCTGAAGAAAAGACCACACCAGTATTAGTTTTGACCTTTTAGATGAGATTTTTTTCTGTAATCCTGAAGGAAATTTAGCATATGCCTGTCAGTAGAGCAATCCAGATGTGTTTAATGTGCTATTAAGAGAATTCAGGTGTTAGTTTGGTACAATTAGGCAATATCAWTAATGAAAACAGAATGTGTATCTCTGATCTCTTACTGACAAAAGAGCCAAAGCTGAACTATTGATCTCAAATACATAACATCYTGAAATGCTGAGAATGGGGACTGGCTGTCTGTCATTTCCAGGTCCTGTCTTCTGATTCACAGCCTCGTCTTTAAAGCTTGAAATGCAGACAAACACCTAAGTTTGTGCCTGAGTGCATGCTTGCAGCACTTGTATTTATAATTGCTTGTTCACTTAAATAGGGAGCACATCATATAGGAAGATTATTCAGTACCTTAGCATTAGCACTCTGTCAGTTATTGGGGCTTAACTTTTGAATGACATATGTAATGGAGCGCCTGGAAAAATTGTAAAGAGTCTTGTGCAGATTTCATGTGAATAAAGGATTTATCTCTAGGGAGTTTGCCGGATTTCAGTCGGTATGGTTATTTTCCGCCTACCTGCCATTTTTCCATGCTTTTAGTTGTGCATTTCTATCCATAGATGAGCTTCTAATGTTAATTGCGAAGTAGCTGCTTATGTTTCATCCCAGATACGGCTGTAATTTACTTAAGGATGTAAGGATGTAAACCCAAATGTTTTTATCCTAGGGTTGATTTCTGTCACTTAGAAATTGGAGGCGGTTTTGCCACTGAATTGAAAAGGAAGATCTAACTTAAGGATCTGTAAACTGGATTTATTTTAAAAGTTTATTTATAAAAMTACCCAACAAAAAGAGAAAATAGAGGGGGAAAAAACTCAAGGAAAGGCAGCATTTCTGTAACCTAGGTGACCTAATCGTGACAGTGCAGTTCAGTGCCCAAGCTTGAACGAGGCTGCCTTATTGCATTTTAGTGAGTCACAGCTTTTCAGCTGAGCTGGGATAACMTGTATATTCCTGTAGTCCAGTCCTGCCAGCCTCTTGGCTCATGAGTTCAGGTAAATTCTTCTTACTTGTATTCACAACAATTTCAGTTTGTGATTATTCAATCTATTCTGATCACTTTAGTATAGTTACTTTTATAAATAAACATTAAATCAGCCAGATGAAGAATTTTTTGTGTCTTCGGCAGTAACATGCAAAAGCAGAACTGAAAAGCCTCACCTTTCCTGGCCTTTAAAAGGGTAGCACCACCTTTCAACACTGCTGTATCACTTGAGGTTTCCTAAGGCGGTTGTCTCGCATCAGCAATATGAAGGCACACTCTGCTCTGACAACCTGTGTTTTTTCTAAATTATGACAATTTTCATGGAAATAGAAACTTYAGGAATGCAAACTCATCAGCTGCATTAAGTGAGCTACTAGTTAAACAGACTTCAGAAGTAGGGCATTCAATTGCTACCTCAATTACCTTTGAGTTATACTTGAGTTATATTTTAGACTGTTATATTATAACTGAGCTACCTCAGTTAYATTTTAGTTGATTTTAAACAGTAAGGAGTCGCTTCTTGAAATGTCTGACTGCAAGAATATTTCTTAAACTGAAACCAATTTAAGCCTTCATTAAAYGTCACAAATACCAACTAAAATGTTTACAAACTGCTAGATTTATTTAGCTGACAGTTTTTTAAATGCTCAACTTTTTTTTTCTTACAGATTTTTTTTACTCTGCTATGTAACCGTTGTCTGAACCAGACATGTCAGATATGTTGAAATTAAGGGAAGAGGGAGGAGTTTTTTGTTTTGTGCAATTGGTTGTTTTGTTGAAGGGAAAATCTTACTGGTTTTAAAGTATTAGACTGTCATTCAGTGTCATTTCAAGTCATAAAGTAATACCTGTTTTGCATAGAATGTTTTGATACTGGAAGTAATTATAGGAACTCCTGATAGATTACTAATAAAAGCTTGTTTCTTTAAGAAAAATCATCATTTGAAGACAATATCAGCTATTTGTTGCAATAGCAAGTCTGTTTTTGTCTTGATCATATCCATATCCACAGTTAATTGAAAAGTAGTTAACTGAATAGGCTCAAGAACTGCAAAACTACCATAATAGTTATTTCATCTGTGTTTCATTGTGCCTTCTTTTCTCTTCTGCCTTTTATTTGGTTGAGTTGTTGTCCGCTTGGATTGCAAATTCTTTTTCTTTCCACCTGTTTGCAGAAAGCCCCATTCTCATACAACACCAGATGATGTTCTCGTGTCTGATGCCCACCACAATGGGAGCTTTACAAGTCACACTCTGATTGTAAACATAGCAATCCCCTCYTCCTGTAGCATCTAGAGATCACAGTGAAGATGAGGGCTGCATTTGTGTTGARTGCAGTGGTGTTAGGAAGCAGACTGCAGATGATGTCCCACAGCAGTTGCGGAACAAATAAGGACAAGATGTTGCAAATAGATGCAAAGATGCACAGTGTTGGGATGGCAGCAGGAGGGAGCACAGGTTTGAATATATTAGGTCAATTTATGGTTGTGCTGTTGTTAAAGCAAGCATGTGCTTCCAAGTTGCTTGCTTTTGAGGAACGAAAGGGCTGGAAATGAAAGAAAACGAGTAGTTCTTTTAGCTGCTGTCTTCAGACAGTGCACAGTTCCCACAGTAGGGCTTACTAGATTTTAACAAATTTAAAGATGGGACTGTGCAAGCTGATTGAGAGAGAATATTATATATAGAAAGAACAGGAGCGGATACAAAGCACAAAAATTACTGTGGTRGAATATGCATGGTCAACTACCACCATTGGTACTGTAATGGAAATTCTGKAAAAGGATGAACACTGTATCTGGATACTTCGGGTCTCCTATGCTGCCAGTATTTGTGCTATATTATTTATATAAAAGTCATTAAAATAGTTTTGTAATGCCTTAGCTTTTAAAAAGGATT